AAAATACCAAGTTCCCTAAAATTGATTTCCCACAGTTTGGGAGAGAAAGACCTAGAAAATGGCTGATGGAAGCCAGAAAATACTTCAAACTCCATCAGATTTCCGATGAATGACGCTAGGAATGGTTGAGAAATACTTGAAGGGGAAGGCAGATATATGTTTTATGGATTCATTACCAATCACCCTGGAGTGAACTTGAGCTTGTTTTCCGATGAGCTTTGCAGAAGGTTTTCAGAAACTATTAAGGAAGAAGTAATTGAATCATTTAGCAAGATAGTGAGGAGTCTAACCCTGAAAAGATACAAGGAGGTGAAGAAGTCATGGAGGTATCAATCGATGCTTTAGTTGGAAGTCCGAAGCACAAAACTATTACAGTGCCTGGGATGATTAAAGGAAGAAGAGTGTCCTTATTGATTGATAGTGGGAGAACCCACAGTTTCGTTGAGGAAAAACTTGCTAAGGAGTTGAAATATGCCATTGATGAAACTAACAAGGTTACAATTAAGCTATCAGGGATGGGAAGATTCAGGGATGGGAGTTTCAATTCAAACTTAGGATACTTAAGCTATCAGGGAGTGACATGGTACTACCTTATGTATATGTAGCACAACCATAAGTGATAGAATAATTTCCAAATCCAAAGTGATCTTAAACAATTTTTCCATTTAGGTTTCTACATAATATTCCTAACTCGAAAGAGTAACGAGTAAGAATATTAAGTAAGTATAACGAATTACGTAACGATTTTCCTACATAAAACATCATCATGTGCACCACCATTATGTATATGTAGCACAACCGTAAGTGATAGAATAATATCGTCACTTATTTACTTATCCAAGGTGACAAGCGACAGTCTCAGCATATACACCAGATTAAATAGCTCATTCAGAAAAAATAAATAAATAAATATGATAACAGTGAGAAGATCTTCACCGTTGGGACCAAGGGAAGTGCAGGTGATGGTGGAGAGCTGTTAGCAAGCATCAATGTTTTTTAGCACGGCCCGAAGCCGGAGAGATGCTGTGCCCTTCTTTCAGCATTCCCTGTATTCCATACGGCTGCATCGAGAGCCCTACCATTTTCAGTTTAGACGCTAGGAGAGAGTTATCAAATTCCTTCAGAAAACGAGGACAAGAAGAGGGAAACCAGAGAAAAAGCCCTAGAAGTGTAGAACCCTTATTATCTCTCCCTCTTTCTATTTTGCTTTTAGTAAGCCCTAGAATTCGAAACAATCCTGTAATTCCTCCTGCGATCACCCAACACTTTCACAATTGTGGCATTTATACCCCAACCGTTCATTTGTGATACTCATGTCCTTAATCTTTTAAGAGATGTCATCGATGCATAGATTATTTTCAAATCTCTAAATTCTAGTATTCTCCATTGGGGTAATTAGCACAAAACATCCATATCTTTAACCGTTACTGTGCAAAACGTCCATACATTTTAACTAATCTTCCATGTCAGCATAACCGTATTAATTATCTTTTGGCAGCTGCAACTGATTCTGTGTCATAAGACCCCCCCCTTAAGAAGTGTAATTATCACCATTGAAGATTTCAGAGACTATTACAGCACCTGGATCGTCACTAGGATGCTGAAAATAATGACTAGTTGGATCATCAGCAGGGCTGAAAAAGGAGCTTGTCATGATTCGAATCAATTCAGGAATGTAGTGAAGAAGATGATGGATCAATGAAAGAACCTTAGCTCTGATACCATGTGAAATTCCTAAATTGAGGATCACGGCTTCATCGTCAAGAAGATGGAATTAAATGCAATAAAAGAACAAAGAAGGAGAAGAACAGAGAAAAAAATAGATAAGATAGAAGAAAAAAGGAACTCTGATTTTTATTAAATGAATTTGCATATTGCATCTTCAAATATTTATAGGCTACACAACAAGCGTATCAACTTCCTAACAGTTTCTAACTACACCACCTAATTGTATCTTTGCCGGTCCTAGCTGTATTTAACTAATCTTCCATGTCAGCATAACTGTATTAACTATCTTTTGGCAGCTGCAACTGATTCTGTGTCATAAGACTGATATCCTTTTTTGAAAGTCTTATCGAACCATGCAAGTCATTGAGACCCATAAAAATTGATGAAGCTCTCAAGGTTATGCACTAGACGTCGATGTTCATACAAGTATTAATTTTAGGAGCACATGTTAAAGACTTTATTATTTTAAATTTCTCGTAACGAGTTGGGCAAAAACGTGGGAAATTGCACATTAATTTGGAAGATGATGAACAACCAAAGAAGAAAATACGATTGGGTAGTCCTTCTACCCAGTGGATTTCAATGTATAATGCACGTCTTCCCATAAAACAAAGGTGAGTGACTTCTTGCTACATGTTTTCTTGGTTTGATATATCTCAACTTGTTTTGTGATATATGAAATATTACGGTCATGCGTATGTGCGTTAAAAATAATATTTCTAACTCGAAGGAGTAACGAATAAGAATATTAAGCGTGTATAACGAATTAGTAACGGTTTTCGTACATAACATATCATCATGTGTACTACCATTATGTATATGTAGCACAACCGTAAGTGATAGAATAATATCGTCACTGATTTACTTATCCAAGGTGACAAGCGACAGTCTCAACAAACACACCAGATTAAATAGCTCATTCAAAAAAAATCTGATGACAGTGAGAAGATCTTCACCGTTAGGACCAAGGGAAGTGCAGGTGATGGTGGGGAGCTGTTCGCAAGCATCGATATTTTTTAGCACGGCTTCGTCGAGGCCGAAGCCGGAGAGATGTTGGTGCCCTTCTTTCAGCATTCCCTGTATTCCATACGGTTGCATCAAGAGCCCTACCATTTTCAATTTAGACGCAAGAAGAGAGTTATCAAATTCTTTCATTAAAACGAGGACAAGAAGAGGGAAATCAGAGAAAAAACCCTAGAAGTGTAGAACCCTTGTTGTCTCTCCCTCTTTCTATTCTACTTGTAGTAAGCCTTAGAATTCGAAACAATCATATAATTCCTCCTGCGATCCCCCAACCCATTTACAATTGTGGCATTTATATCCCAACCGTTCATTTGTGATACTCATGTAGGGCTGTAAATGGATCGGATATGGATCGGATCTGCTTATATCCGATCCGATTCGATAAGAAAATTATCTGATCTGATCCGATCCGATCCGATAATCCAACGTATATTTGATTATTAAAGCCATATCCGATTTGCTATGTTATCGGATATCCGATCTGATAATCCGATCCGAAATTAATAAAAATTAGGAAAAAAATCAATGTTCTTTAAAAAAATTCGAACTAACTTGAGGCCCACATATTTTTATTACCAA